ATTCAGGTATTCGGCACGTTGGTGTTTAGCTCGAGCATGTTTTTTGTGAGTTTATGGACTATTGCCAAGCTGTCATTCTCACATAACAACTAAATGAGTTGGCGCTACGAAATTTATTTTACAGAGAGAGAGAGAGAGTCAAAGCACTGATACTTAGCCCTAAAGTAATGGTAACGTACGAGCACGTTACTGCACCGAACGTGTTGTTTGGGAATCGAGAAGTGCACGAGAAGGTAGTCTTTACTTCGGTAAGTATTCTACTATAGTTAATCTAGGTTTAGTGCCGAATCTTTAATACAGGTGGTGCTCGCAACGCTTCTCTTAGCAGCTGTATCTGCGGTATGGTAGAAGTTCAAGGTATCTGGATCGCCCCCAGCAGCGACGGCAGCTGCATTGCATGAACAGTGTGTGTCTAGACAAATAACTACGTTCCTCTTCAAGTCGACTACTTATTTGTTTCGCTCAGCCACGAATCTTTACTTCCTGGCTCTCATACCTTTGCTGTTCTTAGTCGACAATTAGATTTTCAATTGTATTGCTGCCCACTATTACCGCCACACCTTCTTAGCATCGCTTCCTCTGATTCCCTGCCGACGTCATCGTCGTTGCACGTAGTCCGTCACTGCAGTTTCAACAGCGCCAGCGAGATATCGAGCCAGCGAGCAAAAATTAATCTGATACGAGCCCAAAAAGACGACGATGACAACAACGAAGTGACATCATAAGGGTTCAAAAGGTTCGGATGGTTATCGGCGCTACCTGTTACGCGGCTGCTATGGCCACCTTTTAAAGAAAAGTTTCTTATTTGGCATTTTTCCCTAATAACGATCGGGGTAGCAGGAGAGAACGACAACTCAAGAGATAGAGAAAAAGCACGACAACGATGCAAGAATATAAGCCGTAGCAGTGATGCACGTGATTGGCTGGTATCCTTCGACTTAGCGTATGCACGATAAGAATGCTACAGGTATTACTACTCTTGCTTCAGGCCCTCGGCTCGCCAATGGTAACGCCGAAGCATTAGTGCTCATAGCGAACTTATTTGTTACTTGTGCTAATGGATGATTGCATATAACTTGAGCCCCGCAGTATATTCCACGTCAACTAGCGCCGACTCACAGAACCGGTTATTTCTTCGAACCCCGCATTTTGATGCACACAACCCCATAAAGGGCTAAGGCTGTCGTCATTTACATCGAAGTTAAATAAAGTAGTCACCTAAGAAGTTCAATAGAGCTCTATTTCCTATTTTGTTCTGTTTTTTTTATTCTAATCATGTTGATGATAACTTATGGAATCGATTTGATCCCGCCGCCTTGTTTTTCTGCTTCGGCTGTACGATTAAGGCCAATTTTTCTGTAAGACGCAAAAAAAACAAACATTTGCTACCGTCACTACTGTAATCAGTGAGTTCCTTAAAAATGTCATTCATAGCCGCAGCGAGGTTGCAGACCCCTGAGACACACTCCGACAGAATACGCCGCTGGAAAGCACAGTCATCTAGCGGATATAGTAGCGAGTCAAACAAATCCTTTTATTTTATACGCATTGTCTGAGTACAACTGTTACCATGTAGAAGGACCAAATAAGCAGCGCCAAGTATAATCATTTAATAAATAAGTATAAAACAATGCACGGGATAAGATACGACGTGCGTCTAAATATGCGCAGTGGAATAACAAAATAACAGCAAAAAACATGTGAAGTCGGGTACCGGGTGAAGAGTGCTCTGACGCCCAAACGAAAGAATTGCTAATGCTTACAAGCCGATAGCGGTGTGGCTACTAAAAAACAACAATGAAACGCAAACTATGCGTTCTCATAAAGAATACGATAGAGGCCAAATCGGGACGCGGAAATTGTGTGCGATGTTATACGTTAATATCAACTAACGCAATTCAATGCAAGCCTGCGTAAGTGCAGGGAGACTACTAAACTATGCTAATTCTCTGCTATAGAAGAAGGCCAGTCGTTTATCATTCGCAATTTGAGATGATCAGGAAAATTTCGTATAGGGACAGCCAGTCGAGACAAGTCCCGTTGTTTGTTTCTCCGTGAGTCGCCGCCATAATCTTTTGTAGACTTGACCTGAAATCAAGTCGGCGTGACACGCCATTATTGAATTTGCCGGCGCCCAAAAAGAACGATGCAAGAGGGGTCACTGATGTTTCGCTGGAAGCGAGAAGAACATACGGGAAACGAGACGCAAAAGTGAATGGGGCAAAATCAATATTCTCAATTTGAGATTCGCCCCCTTCTCACTCACTCACTCCAGGCATCATTTTTATGTTCGATTGCTTTCGCATATGTTGCCACTGATTTACACAGGCAAGCAAACAACAAACGGTATCAAACAAGAGACGTATGAAGGGCTCCGCCAATTCACGACCCTTGGACCCTTCGGCTGTCTATGTAATCGAAGCTTTCGGATCGAAGTATATCCGAGCGGGTATACAAATACATAGATGCTGCTTGCAGTTGCGAATCCGACTCCATTTAGCACTCAAGTCGTCAGTACGTGAGTGACCGAAGAAAGTGAGACTGATTGCGAGTTTTGTTTAAGTCGTTGTACATCAGGAATCTCCTTCTCTAATCATTAATTTCAGGTAGTAGTGTGTTAATGTTATGAATATGCTCTACCTATCATTTCGGCTGGTACTTCTGCGATGGCCGTTTTTGCTATCATCACTTTTATCGGCGATCGGCATCAGCGTCGTCATCGTCAGTAGCAGGAACAGCCCCAGTGTTGCCAACCGACTGCTATTAGCTGTGCCAGTTCTATCGGCCGTTATCTGTCTGACTGAGTCGCATGCTGTTACGCCGCTTTCGCTGTAAATGGCAAATCAACCAGTGAAGTAAGTAGGTAGCTCCCACTGAGACTGAGATATCTGCTCCTGTTTACATTCCCCCACCTTGCGCACTCCTTACCCAAACATTGTCAGAATTAACTGAATATACCAAGAGCATTGCTACCAGTGCGCTAGCAGATTGCTCACGAACTAGGGAGAAGTCGACTAGACGGCCAACAACCGGTAACGGCCCTCTACCCACTCATGTCGTTGGTAGGTACCACGCGGCGCGAGCTCTATGCACTCTGCCGTCACAACGACGGACCCCACCTGCAGTAATATTCGCGTCGTAGTCTGGCACCGCTATACCGAGACCGGAAGTCATAAGGTTAAGTTTCTCCTGTCGACCTGCCTTTGCCTGGCCCCCAGAACTCTCCATGAGGATACCGTGTTGCGACGATCCAAGGCTGTACCGGCAACAGAAGATCCCGAACGTAGTCCGCTCTGTATGTGATGCGCGTTGTAGATATGTATGTATTATTTATTAGGCGGGTTCGTTTACATCGTCGGTCAATCCAATCTGCCCGGTTAATAGACTATGTGAACTCTCCATGTGCGTGAGTGCGAGCGCATCTGCGTGATAATATATCTTGGCCACCGCCGCCACTGGCCCCTTTGACGTGTTATGCATTCGTCCATACGCTGGCGACTAAGTGGTGCTACTATCGGTGGATGCGGATCTATGTGGCTGAAAATTTCTATGAGGGTACCTACCTTTTCCTTTTCAGATAATCACAAAGCTGTCAGGACGCTTACCCTAAGTAACCGACAACTGGTGATAGCGCTGCTGTCGACAATGATAACGGCATTAAGAACAAAAACAACAACAGCAGCAGCGGCTTTTGCATATAGCTAGGCAACACAACAGTAGAAGGAACGCTCCTTGCAATGGGATGTATTGACATTTGAACCTATACGAGTCACAAAATAGCAGAATTACCACATGTAGGAACTATTATCTAGTCTGAGGCGTAAATGCCAACCTACGGAATAGGCCTACAACGTTCCGCCATGAATCGTACATATGTATGCATAGGTAGTATACCCTTGATTTCACTTCATTCAACAGTATTGTCATGTACATCATTGCGAGTCTCGTATAGATTCGATGAATAGCGTGATTATTTAAGCTGCAGCCAGCACGCGTCGCTGGGCCCGGTGGTGTCTACCTAAGCAAAAGTTTTTTCATAGAAACTTATCGTTGGATGTAACGGATTGGAATAGTTAGCCGGCTGGATATATATATGGTCACCATTTGCTAAATTGTCACTTGTATAATATAAGAAAGGTAACTAAGTGAGCTTGTATGCGATCGGTGACTCTCATCGGCTAGAAATAACGCGCATTTCCAGCAAAAAATGTTTGGCTTGTTTAACAGTAACGCGTCAATGTCAGTCCGATCTATTACTGAGGTGCTCTATATTGACTCACGGAAACGATAAAACACTGAAGACAGGGGCAATTCACTTGGGCGAGACACTATAATTTACTTCAATATGCGCGCTCGCGGAATGTTTCAGACCACATAAACACACATACAGAGACGAAAGGACAAAGATTCATTCAACAACTAACTCATACTCATATATACACAAGCCACTACATAGATAGTAGTTCAGTAAATGGAAATATTAACAGCGCATTTCGGCATGACGGATTGCCGAAGGACAGACAATTACGAAGTACCTAATGGTCAATATGTATCAGAGTTCTGATTAGGCGACCGACCCGTGGGCCTCTCCTACGTAAGTTAAGATTACAATCGGCAAACAGAGTTAGCCCATATTATAGCTGCTGAATTATAGCCAGATATTATGGCTGCCGAAAAGCTTACACGGGCTGGATTGCTTGTTTGGTTTTGTCATTCGAACGAACAAGCCAGCTCATAGCGGCAAAATTTAAAAATATAATCTTATCAATCAGCTACTTCTATGTAAATTATACAAAATTGTATTTAAAATCAACACACAAGGATTGTAGATTACTAAATTCTTGTTGTTTGGTCCGCGTCTTGTGGTGTGAACCACGTAGCGAGTGCCAGAAAGGAGTACTGTTTATTTATCAGAAAGGACGTCGGCTTTACAGAGAATGGCTTCGTTGGCTAGGGCACTACCTTGTTTGGCCGATGCGACGGTTCTGAATGGTGCGCGGTGTGTTTTTTTTTTAGTCGGCCTGTTCTGAGCGACTGAGAAGACAAGCCCTGGCTGCAGTTCTCCTGCAGCCGTGCGACGTTCTCTGTTCGGTAGCAATATTTCCAAAACAACTAACTTATGAAGAAGACGAGTCGATAACTCTCTCCTCGTCCGGTTTTCCATCAATGTCGTTTAGTCTGATCTATTCTGCCTGGATGGGCCACAGGACGGGTAGGTCCTATGTCGCAGACAGCCTCGACTTAACGATGCAGCTACTGTACGTCTCTTTCGTAAGTTCCAACCTCTCGTTTCGGCCAGTGTCGGTCTATACATCGATATCACACACAACTCTTTTTCAGGTAATCGCCATCGCTCGAAACAGCCAAATTCATTCGGTATTGTCATTGGTCGACCTCCCCTTTGGTCAAGAGAAACATTTTGAACTGTCAGATTTAATCAATGTGCATGTTCGTGCACGCATGTAATTCGGCGTTAGGAAAAAGGCACTACGACATTGGGCATGTAAGTGGCTCATTTTTCTGCCCTGTTTTCCGTTGACGTGCTGTCAATATCTCGTTGAGCGGAGCTTTTGAAAAGTAATTTACTCGCTTTGTAGCCTTTTATGAATACTATACGCAGCCTCTGTAAAGGACAAATAAATCGGCAGTAGCAGTAACGTGACAGCCAAGGAAACATCCAATGACAGCCTGACTATAGTTAGTTTCTAAAGGTGGACTTAACATAGAAGAGGGGAGATCGCGTGTCTCGTCGATATAGTCAGACCTCACTATATACCTCTAATATCTGAATCAATAAAAGCCAAGTAAAAATCTTTACTTGTTATACTTCAGAAGTTGTGTAGTAAATCAAATAGCTATAACCGCAGCGTGTTATGAAGTCGCCAGCTATTTCAGCTCGTATCTAGTTACTATACGTTACTTACATAGAACTCATATATATATGTATGTGTTTGTTTTTAAGAGCTAGTATTATTAATCACGCATTCATTGATTGACCAGGTATCCGTAATATAAATTTACTTAACAAACAGGCTGGTGCTTTCTATACTTTTCTTATTAGCTATTTTATCAATTTTTACAAGGATTCTGCCCTTAAAACTTAAGAATATTCTTTCTAGTTTAATCTTTTCCATTTCAGTGAAAACAATAGTAACTGCTCGAGCAGTGTATATCCATTATCCCGCTTTACCTGCAGCCCAGATATAATCGTACTATATTTATTAGTATAATGACATTGTCATTCAAAATACAAAGTGGCTGTCGAATGCGACATAATATTACTGCGGCTGACCGGCAGGCGCCTTTTGGTCCCGTAGAGACATCCGTTTGCAGAACGAGGTCCTTAGCCACAGAATTTCAGACCTTAACACCGTCGACAAAAAGTCACTACCTATTAAGGCTACAAAATTACTACAGATTAATAAATGTGCTTAATTTTCAGGTGTTCCGCATACGCAGGTGCGGAACAATCCAATCTCAAAGACTACCCACCGAACACCGAGTAGCAAAAGAAAATCTCGAGCGATTCGCTAATGTATATTACGAGAGACATGATCGTACGGATCGCTCGCTGGGTCGTTTTACTTAGGCCGTAAGCCAGGGTGGTTGTGAACGAAGCGCGCGAAGCCATTAGCAGCACATTGAGTATGCAAACACTACTTTTATTCTTGAAAGAAAAACATTTGAAAAATTCCCAATTAAAGATTAATTAATGATAATATTACAAATACAATGTTAAATGTTGTGAGAAAATTCAAAGCAAGTCTAACGTTCATGTACATACGTTAGGCGTCAGGTAAACATTTCACAGTAGTTCAAAACCAACCCCCCGATATATATACATATTTTTTTTTTATAACTGTTGGGTTTCAGTTTATTTAGAATCTAAAGCTGGTAGAGAACTGTCTTATTGGTGAGCGCATCATCGTTTGTAGTTTTGCAGGAAAACTTTTAGACTACTCCAATAAAAGGCAGGCTATAACATAGCAAAATTTGTAATACGACCGTCTTTGCGACAAGGTATAGATAATGTTTGGTTACGACAACACATTACGTGAATTTTATGTAGTGTACATGACAATAGTCAGCTGTGTGCTATTTTCAATAAAAAAAACCTATTACACCGGTCTGATCTTGCACTTGTGGAGCAGTTAGTCTGTGAATGGCCTTACTCAAAGGTTCAACGAGATAAAGAGTCCGTAAACAACAACGCACCCGCAAACTCATCTTCTGAACGTCGAACTCGTCGACCACCAGTTGCAAAGAATGCCCCGGCCAGGGCATCAGCATTCGCAATAACAACGAAAACAGCAATAGCCACATCCGGCCAGTTCCATTCCGTCTCCCCTTCTTTGGCACGTCCCCCTTGCTTTTCCGTTGTATCACATCTGAGTTGACGTTCCTGCTGGATAGAAACAGCATCCATCTTCTGATTTCTCCAAGTTCACACATAACTCCAATACAGACATAGCAGTTTCGCTACCATACAGGTTACCTTTTCAGTCTCAATTCGCCTCTAGCTCACTCTCCAACCTAGCACTCCACCGGCATCGTCCGTGCTAGCGGTGGCAACTAGAAAGCAGTGAACGTCCTATACGTTCCATGCTATATGCTCTCAAACGAGTGAGCTTTTCACGCGACGTCTCACCGCCCCCCGCCCCCGCGTAAACTTCGATGTCTATAAGCGCCCCGCGCCTCTGTCTGTCTGTCTGTACCGTCCAGCTATGTGCAGTACCTGCATTCGCTGGCAATAACTATCGCCTTCGCTGTTACACTGCATTGTCAGTCAGTGAGTAGGTGTCTGCGAAACTTTGCTACCCCCGTCAAAGTCAGCCGATATACTCAAGCTTCGGCGAGCGGTTTACTTTGAGGCGTTTCCTAGCTAACGACGATAAGGCGGGCTGACCTGCCGGCCTAGCGACTGATGCAGCCAACCAGCATCAAGCGTCGTTAAACCTGGTTTTTCTTTTCGGGAAGGACAACGAGTAGTGAACGAAGCGGCCTTTACGTTCCTTGCGTCTGCGGCAGTCCCAACTGCCTCAGTACCTACTCAAGGAGTGGTGGCACTAGCGCGGTGCCACCACTCCTGTTCGAGGTCAAAATGAAAATGGCTACTATTTGTGCTCCTTATTTTGCTGGTGTCAGCACTGCTGATGCCGGCGCAATTGTTGCTGGTGCTGCTACAGCCTCCGCTGGTCCGCCGCTATTCTGGTCGTTGTTCTGTTTTGTGGATCTGTTCTCTCGAAATCTGTTCTTTCCTATGCAAAACAATGGAAGAGACAAGACGTTGCACAACGTTTCCGAGCCACCGCGGCGACGATGATGAAAACGCTGATAGTCGACGTTCAACAATGCCAAAATCGAGGGAAAGGAACAAGGAGTAATTTCATGCCAAAGTCGACCACTGCTAACACAGCTACTTTTGCCATGCCCGCCTTATAAAGTTTCTTACACGCACATGGTCACTTACGCAGAGCGGACACAATAGCGGGGACGGACAATTCGAAACTATCCCTCCTTTGACGCGTTTACTTCACACAAGAAAAAATTCAGCAGAACATGACGCAACAGTAACGATCTTAATAGGAGATGGAAAAGTGGACAGCGGACGGCGATGTTCGTGGGGCACCGATTGCGTGAATCCTAGAAACGCAAGCATCTGGAGTAGCGTTGCCACCGGTGGTAAGCAACAACAGGAAGGACAACGGCGTGCTGTTGCCAAGAGTTAAAATCAAGAAAGGATGTCTCCTACACTGCCACGCAAAAGTCAAAGACGCCGTGTGAGAAGGGGAACTTAATGCTTTTCGGTTTGGCCCCACCTCATCTTTAGTAAATACTTTTATTTTCAATGACCGTTTATTGGTTGAACGTGCTAGACCAAGGTAGGCAGGCGAGCATTGACCTTTGAGCTTCTTTTTTACCATTTTCGCGAACGCAGGATTTTTTTACGCTTCTAGTATGTCGTTTATATTTCGCTCGATTTAATATAATCGTGGTGAATGAGTCATCTCGCGATTGTCGGAGCGCTTCGTTTAGACGGGGTAAAAGATGACTTGCCGACATCTTGTCCTCAGGGGATCATTTAAGGATCCCATGTCGTTACCGAAAAATATCTGATGAAAAGATCTGACAATCTCGCCGCCTTTTCACCGTCTCTGAGCCTCTTCCTGGTCCCATCTCTATATCCCTGACTTGACTGTCTGCCCGACTATTATGGAAACGAACGTATGTTGAAACTCCTACTTTAGCTGCGCACAATCACGCGATGAGTGAGTTACGGCAAAAGTTAGGTCACCATCGATATCGCTTAGACAAGACCAATTTCCACATACATCCAACGCCTCAGGCTTTACGGATTTTCTACGGGATTGCTGGACGGCCGCATAGTGGGGCGATACTTTCATAAGAACGTCATGATCGACTCTTCGCCGATCCTCTGGGGGGTCTTTATGCACGATCTATCTATTTCCCGCGCAAGTTGGAGACCAACACAAATCGGTCGAGTGTATTAAAACGTCTGGACGAAAATTACACATATACACACACAAACATCTATATACAAATATATGTATACCTGCCAACATCGTTGGATTCTTGAGTCTGGAAAAAAATTTCCTAGAAAAATGTTTCGGCAAATGCTGCATACCATTGCACTTAATGAAGCAATAACGTTCATTTTACGCTCTGTTCTAACACCGTAAGTACACTTCACTATCGTTTGTAGGTTTATTTAAGGAAACGGTGTTTTATCTAGGGGATTTGATGCATGTATAAAGAGTTCGCTCAGATTAGGCGAATGTTATGAAAACAGTTATAAAGTTAGAACTATTGTTTGCCGTTTGGGTTAGTCTTCGAGCATCATTTTGCCTCGTGCCTCGTGCTCCTTTTGTGTCAATTTTATTTATTCTTTCTCAGAATTTTAACATCGAAATTGTTCATATCCGAGTAGACGAGCCTGTATAATATGTCAGTTGGAAAAAACAACCATCCACAACGTATATATCTTTTAACGCTAGGCTTTCTCCCTTGTATTTGAGCCAATACGAAATTTGCAAAACAAGGTATGGTTTCATAAATGCGTAATTGTTGGCCTGCTGTAGCAATTCCGTGCGTGTATACAGAATGGCCTAATCCGGCAACGAAATAATGTTCGTCCTCAACATTAATCATTTGACCTACCTCTTCGAGTAGCCGAATATCGTTGTCCGCTTCGGCGCTAAGCGAGATGCACTCTGGCATTGTGTTTCCAAACGTCCAGTTGGCATCGCGCTGACACACGGCTTCTGGATCCCCTCGGAGGTCGTAGCCTGGAGCGCACTCGAGCTTGGCCTGTGACCCGATAAAGAAACTATCCGTGAGAGTGATCGTACCGAACGGAAACGCTTCCTCGTCAATGGTTGGGCACGTTTTACGAACAACGACGTAATCTACTCGAAACGACGCGTCCTTCATAAATTCAGCTTCGGCTTTCGTCAGGTGGAAATTGATCCGGAGTTTCGTATCTCGGGTGCGGTAATGGAGACCGGAGCCGTTCTGGACTGTAATGCGACGTTCGCCGTCGTAAAAAGTCAAGCCCCGATTTCTTCGCGCGGTACGGACCAAATCCTCTGGCTGTACTTTCACTGAGAATTCGATATATTTAGCAGTAGGATTGATCTCGTTACCATCAATATTCCAATTACAATAATAATTTTCGGCCGAAATCGGAAGCTCAAGGACGCCCGAATCGTTCCGATCTTGAATCTTGGGGCAGTTGGTTTGTCGGTGGCATGTTGGCAATGGCGAGTTCCACGAGACAGATCCGTTTCGTAATCGAACGCACTCCAGCGTACGGTTTCCCACTAAAACAAAGTCTCGACTATTGAGGCATTCTAATTCCGCGATCTGCAATAGTAAGATAAGCGCAAAAATAACACCCTTTATCATATATATATATATACACACGCCCACACACACATATGTATATAAAAGTATAATATGATGCATTTCCTATACACCTAGGTCTAACGAGAGCTACTACGAAGAGAAAATGATTATTTTCGTAACGCATGCTATTTCCAGAATAATGTCATAGTTTCAACAAACAATAGAGAGAGAGAGAGAGAGAGAGAGAGAGAGAGAGAGAGAGAGAGAGAGAAATTACATTGTAATAGCACAGACTCAACCGCAACTGTATTTAATATCAGAGACTTTTTCCACTACGGGATAGACGAATCTCTAATTTAGCAAGCAGATTTTCATACTGCTATTATCGTTATGATTATCTTTGTCGTCATCATCATTATAATAAAGGCTTGTGATTTCAACATAACAAACGGAACAATCTGCGGCTAGACTACGCCATTCCCACTTCATTTGCCTTCTATTTACACACAACTAACATTCTCCTTTACAAATTAACTTTTAAACTTTCCACAGGGCTTCAATAGATACACACGGACGTAAGGACACAGAGCTAACGAGATACGCCTGGATACACTTCGCAGAAACTTCAAGAGAAATTAATCCAATAAGACACTTCAGGACGTAGTCTTTTGTACGCATTGGAAAACAAAGACTACTACAATGACGTATAATGCTAATGTAACAGTGCCTAACATAGCGTAAGTCTTTCTCTGTACTTTGCTGTATTTGCTTAATTGAATGGATCATTTGCGCAGAGTCGTTGCACCGCAGTTCTCACTTGTTCTATAGTACCGTTCGTCTTTGCTCGTAAAAAAGCAAATAAACGCAGGCAAAAATTGATTGTAGCGCTCAGAAGAACTGCCCTTGGGGCGAAACCACCGAAGAGATCATGTACACAATATTGTAATTTTAAAGTTATCATTATTGGCATTGCGGAAAGAGTATGTGCCGAGGGCTGTAAAAAAGACTGTGGAAAAGCAAGCAAAGCCATCAGAAAACCGTCAACCAAACAGTAAATATGAGCCAGAGGCATAGATAGGATTGGCGCTGTGGTCCAATTTTTCTAATTTTGATAAATTTAGGAAGAAATCGAAATTCAGCAGTGCGCTGTCGTCCACAAAAGAGTATCGTAATACGAACGTTGATACAAGCCAGCAGTAAGAACTACAACTAGGTTATAATATTTGTTCTTGCGTGCTTTTCCGTATCGTTACGTAGGCTGACCATTAGGAAGGCAATGTTGTCTTAGAAATTTCCGTCTGTGTGATATTGTCACGATCATCGTCGTCGTCGTCGTCGCATCGGTTGCCTCTGATTTTTTTGTTACGGCCTCGAGGGCTACTTTTAAAAGTTTACCAATTGTCTGTTTGTGGGCAGATTGCTGTTGAGTAAAGGCGCTGCAGAAAGTGCCGAAGAGCAGACGCGCGAACAGCTCGCAAATGTCGTCTACAATAATTAGGGAGACAATGGCACTGGCATCTTGCTACACTAGAGATAACGGTGTTCACTGGTGCTAATTATCACTAATCTAAAAGCGTTTCTGCCGTTGAACAATGAATCGGTTATATACAATTTACGTATGTATTTGCGCAGGAATTGCCTTCGGCCTAAAGGTGACTGGATTTATAGAGTATTTATTTGCTCTATTGAGACATATCTTGGATCTAACGGTGACGTACAGTCTCTTTAAACTGACTGAACTAGCCTAGGGGAGCCGTAGAACAAGTGTATGTACGGAATCACATGCGATGTTCCATTAAGCCTGTGTGTATATATGAAAAAAAAAGTACGCTGTCATGTTAATATAGTACTTGACCAAATCATTTGACTAATGTTTTTTTTTCTGCTTTGTTAATAAAACAGTGTCAAGTTGTCATAATAACATTGAGAACAGAGCAAACCCCGTATCTTTCTGGGTATTCGCACATAGAATTCAAAGGATCATATTTGCATACACAAATGAGCTCGAATGTGGTTCTGCTAAAGACTGGGTAAATGTTCGTAGGTAGATAATAGCTAGGCATCCAATACGAAACAGAGAAGAATAACACCGTTTAAAAAAATGGGTGAATGACTTCTTAGAGATCAAGTGATTGCATTCGTTAACTAATGCCGCGGAGAAGGTATTCGACAAAAAGACGGATGATTCTGACGGTGGCTAGCAACTTGAAGCGCCATACAGAGCTAGTGTTAAAGAGTTTACTCCTATGAACACCTATGAAGTCTGCTATAATATTCTGTAACTGCTTAACAACTTCACTGAAGAAGAAGTTCACTGAAAAGAAACCATTAACTTAGTAAACAATCTTTGTGATTGGTGACTCCAACAGGCAACGCATACGAATAAACATTGTTTATCAAATTACGACAGAGACATGAAACCCACAACAATCGAAAACACCTCACCACCCATCGTCTACTATAACATATGAATATAAGTCTTATAACACACGGTCGGGCATCAATGATATTCAAATAGGAGTTAACAAATACCCTTCCCTATTTAGGCAATATTCTTACTTCGATGGCTAGATCGATCTTCGGCCTACTTCATCCTGGTATAACGAACTATCTTGAGGGGAAAAACAAAATGGGTCATGTTGTATTGATCTGTCCCACATGGCCCGCTTGCCTCTGTCTAAAAGAGCCAACAGATGTGGGTTAAAAACCTTTTCTTTTTCTGACGAAGCCCTCATGCCTGTCCAGCGATGCTGACTAAATATTGAAGGAATCAACTGAGCCTATTGAACCTATTTTACTGTTTTTACGACTGAACAGAATCAGGATCGGTTTCCGGAAGAGACAGAGTACGAGCACAATAGGCCATTGATTTACAATGTGCAATCACTGTTAACGGAATACTGCCCGAGCGACAGATACATAACTGTGGTTACTATTGTGGAATAGAAAATAAACGCACAAAGAAGGTTATTAAGAAGGGTTTTAATAATAAATAGGATTATTTATAGATATTATTCGACATCGCTCATCTTCGTACTAATCTTCCATATCAAGATGAGAGACCGAAACAGTTATATCCATGAGTTTGAATTATAACGCTGATTGGCATCGGTAATGCGGCGTTAGCCATAGTTTATGTCATGGAAAATGTTTCATAGAACTTGCTAAACAGTTAGGATTGTATTATCTTATACATAACACTAAAAACATATTAGACGCTTAGAGAACGCAGTGGGATCTCCAAATTGGCCAAATGTCTTTATAAAGTGTGACAAAATGGCACCAAGTAGATTTAGAAATGACTGTGTTTGTTTTTGATTGGCGAGCCCATACTCTACCGGCCGCTAATCCCGATTAGGAGTTCCAAGTCAATAATGAAGTTTTGTACTTGAGTACTGACTCACCGAGTATTGTCGCTGTCTCACGGCTAAACGGCCTTCTAGTAGGACAGCTGTCGCAGTTACTAGCATGTTCTATGAGCCTTTAAAAAAAAGCTCATACCGCTAATGGGGCCTTTTCGAAATCCTAAGGTCATCTTGTTCCTGTTCAGTAGTCAGTCAGCGCGTTTTACTCTTTTTTGCCACCCTACGAAGTAGTTCATTTTTTAAAATCAAAATTGTATTACAGCAATGACATGAATTAATTTATCGTATATTTTAGAACACGACCGTTAGTAACGTCCTCGGCCGTCGTCGTTGAACCGATTTCATTTATCAGGATCTTATTAGAGCACTATCCATTCGATGGCGTATAGTGCAATGCTACTTTGTGTCATATATCCAGTCGTATTATATACGCCGATGATGTCTTTATGATAGATTTGAACGTGTAAGGTTGGCGTGGGCGAAGCGCGACAAAGGCGAACACATTGTCTCGACACGCCTACAAAGCGTCCGCGGCCTTCCTTTCTCGTTCGTTGTGAATGACAAGCAACGTGGTCGCAAGCATCACGCATCCTCTGTCATTGGATCGAGTGCATTACATCCTTCCATCGCCGCTTGTGCAGCTCCACCTAAACCGTGTAAACTTGGACACCTACACCTTGTACAGACACTCTCACCTTCCTCTTGTAGGGCTATCCGCGTAAGGCGTACAGCCAGGCGACTTGGGTAGATGTACATATGTATATATACGCATCATATATTGTTTCAGCTCGTATTTGCGTCATTTTCGTGGCAGCGGTCTCACGTTTTCACCGCAGAAAACTGACAGCCCGCAACAATGAGAAATCCGAGCCACCTTGCCAGCAGTCAATCAGCGGAAAACAGCCAATGGTCTTGTCAACAAAAGTGTTACCCATTATTACAAGTTGCCCAGATATATGCTCGTACGGAAATATATAGACACACACGTACGTGTAAATATTTCCTTTGTTGATATTGCCATAACTACAGGCCCGCCACTGCCTGCACTTTCAGCACGGACACTGCTCCAGTTGCTCATCTCAGTACAGAAGTAGTAGTAATCGTGCTACCATCCTGTAACTAGCAGTAGCCATTTGGACTTCAGGGGGCAGTACATCCATCAATGCATCACATTTTTGCCCACTTTTGTTGCCTTGGCCACTTAATGTATGTAGCAGTAGTAGTAGTAGTAGTAACACAAAGTGGCACGCGGTAACTCAAGCTCTGAAGCGAACTCGCGTGGCGGTGTTCAACGGTTGCTTAAATGTGCCCTACAACCGGAAAACGTGTACATATATACACTCGTAAATACATGCGTATTTACGTACAAGTATAACGAAGGAAGTGAGAAGGATATAGAGTGGCGGATTGGTGCGAGGGCGCGGGTTGGAGGGAAATCAAAGGATATTCCTAATGAAAAAAGGTATTTGGAGTGCAATCGCAGTCGGGTTACTTTGAGCTCCTGGGGAATCTTATTGCCCACAGGTTCAGAGCTTAGGATGGTGAGATGCAAGGTACGATTTGTCGGCTAGCTCGGCCCCTTCTTGCTTGGACGCTCTCGAACCACGCTCTCGCAGCCAGCGAGTAGTGGTCATCAGATAGTGGTGGAGCTTC